ATAATATATTAGCATATTGTGCATATATAGGCATAAGTTAGGTTAGGTGTTTAGGTTCTGTTGGCTATTATTTGTATTTGTAGTACGTGGGTGAAGCATTTACAGCGTTGAGGTTCGAACACAAGTCGTCAGAGAAGCACTTGTTCCGGAAGTGTTCGAACGTCAACAGTTGTGAGTCGTGTGTAAACTGTTTACATTCATCAACACCTGGGGGTTTGGCGGCTGGATGGAATGGACTTTGGGTCTTTGTTTCAGCCTGTCCTCCAAACAAAGATCCAAAAATGATTCCATCCACCCGCCAAACCCCCCCCCCAGGTGTTTATGAATGAAAAGCGGTTTACACACGACTCACAACTGCTGACGTTCGAACATATCCGGAACAAGTGCTTCACTGACGAATTTTGTTCGAACCACAACGCTATAAATGCTTCACCCACGTACTACAAATACAAATAATCGCCAACAGAACTTAAACACCTAACCTATCCTATGCCTATATATGCACAATATGCTAATATATTATAATATTAATATATACTTGAGAAAATTCCCGTTTGGAATGAACAGCATGTTAAAATTTATGAATGCGTCTGTGGGGTCGACCGCTGGATGTAATGGACTTGAGTCGAGGACGGGTTGCCTAACCAGTGCCTAAATATCCACAACATGCAAATATATAGTAATATTAATTTATAGTTGAGAAAAGTTCTGTTTTGCATGAACAGCATGACAGCAGAAACAAATGGGCAAAGTTTCTTTCACCCTGAATGCCCCTGTTACCTAGCAGTAAATAGGTACCTGGGTGTTAGTCAGCTGTCACGGGCTGCTTCCTGGGGGTGGAGGCCTGGTCGAGGACCGGGCCGCGGGGACACTAAAAAAAAGCCCCGAAATCATCTCAAGATAACCTCAAGCATGTTAGAAATTTGTGAATGCGTCTTTGGGGTCGACCGCTGGATGGAATGGACCTCTACGTCTAGCTGGAGTGTGATGGTTTAGCCAGTTAACGGCAACGAGGCTCCACGATGCCTTCAAGTGCCTCGTGCTTGTTCCAGGCGGTGATGTCAAAGGTTTGTCGACTGCGGGAAAGTTACTATCAGAGCTGGGCGCCTTGCCCCATAGTTTAAGACCTAGAGAGACGCGTAACTTAAGACGGAAGTTACGCATCGCAGTGAGAGGAGGAAGGGAATTACGGGTAGAAAGTGCCAAGCCATTATGGCTATAGATGGGACGGGGGTAATGGTGCCCAACCAGTTGGACGCTCGGGGGTTGAACGTTATCTTGAGGTTATCTTGAGGTTATCTTGAGATGATTTTGGGGCTTTTAGTGTCCCCGCGGCCCGGTCCTCGACTAGGCCTCCACCCCCCAGGAAGCAGCCCGTGACAGCTGTCAAACTCCCAGGTACCTATTTACTGCTAGGTAACAGGGGGCAACAGGGTGAAAGAAACATTTTGCCCATTTGTCTCCGCCTCCACCGGGGATCGAACCCGGAACCTCAGGACTACGAATCCGAAGCGCTGTCCACTCAGCTGTCAGGCGCCGTTGTTAATACAAGGGCGCCTGTATTAATGTGTTAATACAACCACTACCACCACTACCACCACCACTATCACCACTACCACCACTACCATCACCACTACCACCACCACCACTACCACCACTACCATTACCACCTCCCCCCCACCACCACCACCACCACGACCACCACCTCCCCCCCCCCACCACCACCACTATCACCACTACCACCACTACCATCACCACTACCACCACCACCACTACCACCACCACCACTACCACCACTACCATTACCACCTCCCCCCCACCACCACCACCACCACGACCACCACCTCCCCCCCCCCCCACCACCACCACCACCACTACCACCACTACCATCACCACTATCACCACCACTACCATCACCACTACCACCACCACTACCACCACTACCATCACCACTATCACCACTACCACCACCACCACCACTAATCTAACCATCATTATACAGGTGGGCGGCGTGGGAGAGCGGCTGGGCTGCCAACCAACCTACCACCACACCCACGATGCGGGAAGGCAGGTGAGCACACCTCCCATCTTTCTTATCCTTATCAGTGCCTCTACGCCTAATTTGCCCTCTCTTTTTGGGGGGGTTATGGTCAGTTTTATTTTGATTTTATTGTGAATTATTGTGATTGTGGAAGATTGTTTTCAGAGCGAATACTCTCAAAATTAGTTTGTTTTCCAGGAGGAACAAGGGGCGTTAGTTTGTTTTCCAGGAGGAACAAGGGGCGTTAATTTGTTTTCCAGGAGGAACAAGATTGTTGGTTTGTTTTCCAGGAGGAACAAGGGCGTTAGTTTTTTTTCCAGGAGGAACAAGGGCGTTAGTTTGTTTTCCAGGAGGAACAAGGGCGTTAGTTTGTTTTCCAGGAGGAACAAGATTGTTGGTTTGTTTTCCAGGAGGAACAAGGGCGTTAGTTTGTTTTCCAGGAGGAACAAGGGCGTTAGTTTGTTTTCCAGGAGGAACAAGGGCGTTAGTTTGTTTTCCAGGAGGAACAAGGGCGTTAGTTTGTTTTCCAGGAGGAACAAGATTGTTGGTTTGTTTTCCAGGAGGAACAAGGGCGTTAGTTTGTTTTCCAGGAGGAACAAGGGCGTTAGTTTGTTTTCCAGGAGGAACAAGGGCGTTAGTTTGTTTTCCAGGAGGAACAAGGGCGTTAGTTTGTTTTCCAGGAGGAACAAGGGCGTTAGTTTTTTCCAGGAGGAACAGGAGGGGAGCCGGTCGGCCGAGCGGACAGCACGCTGGACTTGTGATCCTGTGGTCCCGGGTTCGATCCCAGGCGCCGGCGAGAAACAATGGGCATAGTTTCTTTCACCCTATGCCCCTGTTACCTAGCAGTAAAAGAGGTACCTGGGTGTTAGTCAGCTGTCACGGGCTGCTTCCTGGGGGTGGAGGCCTGGTCGAGGACCGGGCCACGGGGACACTAAAAAGCCCCGAAATCATCTCAAGATAACCTCAAGATAACAAGGGGCGTTAGTTTGTTTTATAAGAGGATCAAAGGTGTTCTGCAGAAAGAATATGGGCTTCGTTTTTTATTATTCTAGGAGAAACGAGACCTAACGCTCGCTCATATGGGTGTGTTCATTCTGATCAGAATGAACAACCCGCCAAACACACACACCGAAACTACGACGTTGGTGCAACGTTCGAACAAGTTTTAACACCTCCTAACCAGTTATAACAACCAATATAACAAGTTGTAACAACGTTCTAATACGTCATAAACACGTTAAGCCAAGATGTAACAACTTTATTACAAGTTGTAACAAGCGGAAAATAGAGACAGTTACGGTTTGTGTTTCCAGGGATAAGTGTTGACCAGTCAACACCTGGAAGCCTAACGAGGCCATTGAGGCTAGGGTTTCACCCTAGTCAGTCGTATCGGGAATATTGCGTTGAAAATAGGCTAGGTGTGGAATGGGGCGCTTAGAAATATAATGTTGAGAATAGGGGCATTAACAGGAACTGGAATTAAGGTAACGGAACAGTACTGGAATTGGCTGTCAGCTATATCACACGAACTAGGTTGTTAGGACAGGAAATAGGACTGGGAATGGGGGTTTAATAGAAATCGAGAACTAGGATAGAGGATGTTTGAGGGGGGGGGGGGCTGTGACACAAGGATAGTGGGACTGGGAATGGGGGACTGATAGCCGGGACGCCGAACACGTCCCACTGGCCATGGGGCGTCAAGAATGGACGCGTGTTCGAACATTGATCGTTAAGCGAGTTTAGGGTTTTTTGTTTAACTGGATATGTGAGGACGATATCCGAACGATAGCTGTGGAAGGGGGGGGGGGGGTCAAGGTCGTCCTCTATCCCCCCTCCCCCCCTTGAAGGGGAACCTGATAACATATGCGGTCATGAAGTCGGTGGAGATGAAATTGTCGGTGCAGAGTCCATAGAGTTGTATCATTGTGTTTGATAAGTTCCTTCTTCCTCCTCCTAGTCTTCCTCTCTCTCTCTTCCTTCCCCCCCCTTCCTCCTCCTCTTCCTCCTCCTTCTCTATACATCATGCAGCTATGATGTATAGCTATGTCGTAACTCAGTCGATTAAGGCAGTGTCTGGGATGCACCCGGACGCAGGTTCGAATCCTCGTCACGGCCCTTGTGGATTTGTTCATCATGCAGCTAATCACTGAGACACAGGTACCATCCATCACTGAGACACAGGTACCCCTTCACTGAGACACAGGTACCCCTTCACTGAGACACAGGTGCCCCTTCACTGAGACACAGGTACCATCACTGAGACACAGGTACCCCCTTCACTGAGACACAGGTACCCCTTCACTGAGACACAGGTACCCCTTCACTGAGACACAGGTACCATCACTGAGACACAGGTACCATCCATCACTGAGGCACAGGTACCCCTTCACTGAGACACAGGTACCCCTTCACTGAGACACAGGTACCCCTTCACTGAGACACAGGTACCCCTTCACTGAGACACAGGTACCATCACTGAGACACAGGTACCATCCATCACTGAGACACAGGTACCCCTTCACTGAGACTTAGGTACCCCTTCACTGAGACACAGGTACCATCACTGAGACACAGGTACCATCACTGAGACACAGGTACCGTCACTGTGACACAGGTACCATCACTGAGCCACAGGTACCATCACTAAGACACAGGTACCATCACTGAGGAGATATTGCAATATTGAGACTTGGGTTTCCACCAAGTAGACTCAAGCTCTTGGGCCAGCAGGTATAGGAGTAGGCAGGAAAGCAGGAGCTGGGCCAGCAGGTACAGGAGCAGGCAGGAAAGCAGGAGCAGGGCCAGCAGGTATAGGAGTAGGCAGGAAAGCAGGAGCAGGGCCAGCAGGTACAGGAGCAGGCAGGAAAGCAGGAGCAGGGCCAGCAGGTATAGGAGTAGGCAGGAAAGCAGGAGCAGGGCCAGCAGGTATAGGAGTAGGCAGGAAAAGCAGGAGCAGGGCCAGCAGGTATAGGAGCAGGCAGGAAAGCAGGAGCAGGGCCAGCAGGTATAGGAGTAGGCAGGAAAGCAGGAGCAGGGCCAGCAGGTATAGGAGCAGGCAGGAAAGCAGGAGCAGGGCCAGCAGGTATAGGAGTAGGCAGGAAAGCAGGAGCAGGGCCAGCAGGTATAGGAGCAGGCAGGAAAGCAGGAGCAGGGCCAGCAGGTATAGGAGTAGGCAGGAAAGCAGGAGCTGGGCCAGCAGGTACAGGAGCAGGCAGGAAAGCAGGAGCAGGGCCAGCAGGTATAGGAGTAGGCAGGAAAGCAGGAGCAGGGCCAGCAGGTATAGGAGCAGGCAGGAAAGCAGGAGCAGGGCCAGCAGGTATAGGAGTAGGCAGGAAAGCAGGAGCTGGGCCAGCAGGTACAGGAGCAGGCAGGAAAGCAGGAGCAGGGCCAGCAGGTACAGGAGCAGGCAGGAAAGCAGGAGCAGGGCCAGCAGGTACAGGAGCAGGCAGGAAAGCAGGAGCAGGGCCAGCAGGTATAGGAGTAGGCAGGAAAGCAGGAGCAGGGCCAGCAGGTATAGGAGCAGGCAGGAAAGCAGGAGCAGGGCCAGCAGGTATAGGAGTAGGCAGGAAAGCAGGAGCTGGGCCAGCAGGTACAGGAGCAGGCAGGAAAGCAGGAGCAGGGCCAGCAGGTATAGGAGTAGGCAGGAAAGCAGGAGCAGGGCCAGCAGGTACAGGAGCAGGCAGGAAAGCAGGAGCAGGGCCAGCAGGTATAGGAGTAGGCAGGAAAGCAGGAGCAGGGCCAGCAGGTATAGGAGCAGGCAGGAAAGCAGGAGCAGGGCCAGCAGGTATAGGAGTAGGCAGGAAAGCAGGAGCAGGGCCAGCAGGTACAGGAGCAGGCAGGAAAGAAGGAGCAGGGCCAGCAGGTATAGGAGCAGGCAGGAAAGCAGGAGCTGGGCCAGCAGGTACAGGAGCAGGCAGGAAAGCAGGAGCAGGGCCAGCAGGTATAGGAGCAGGCAGGAAAGCAGGAGCTGGGCCAGCAGGTACAGGAGCAGGCAGGAAAGCAGGAGCAGGGCCAGCAGGTATAGGAGCAGGCAGGAAAGCAGGAGCTGGGCCAGCAGGTACAGGAGCAGGCAGGAAAGCAGGAGCAGGGCCAGCAGGTATAGGAGCAGGCAGGAAAGCAGGAGCAGGGCCAGCAGGTATAGGAGTAGGCAGGAAAGCAGGAGAAGGGCCAGCAGGTACAGGAGCAGGCAGGAAAGCAGGAGCAGGCAGGAAAGCAGGAGCAGGGCCAGCAGGTACAGGAGCAGGCAGGAAAGCAGGAGCAGGCAGGAAAGCAGGAGAAGGGCCAGCAGGTACAGGAGCAGGCAGGAAAGCAGGAGCAGGGCCAGCAGGTACAGGAGCAGGCAGGAAAGCAGGAGCAGGGCCAGCAGGTATAGGAGTAGGCAGGAAAGCAGGAGAAGGGCCAGCAGGTACAGGAAGGAAAATAATGTTTCCTGCTTCTACTCTACACAGACGCCATCTTGTCGACTCTGATACACAACCTTCCCAACATGGACCTGAGTCCTGGCTTTGTTGTTGTGGACTCTTCCCTTTCACAGTACATACTAAAGTGCTCTAACTTTTCTAACAAACGTGACCTAACATAGGCCTACCCTTCCTCTTTCTCCTCTTATTCTTACGTTTATATTCTTATATATACATTATTACTGTTTATTACACCCATCCCATTCGTACCTTTGCCCTTGTTCTTGCTTTCATCTAGGAATTTCCTTCTCACCTCTCTCCATCTCTCTCTTGCCTTAGGTAATGCCTAGGCCTCTCTCAGCTCACGGGCTATTCATGCCCGTGCCACCTCTAGGGCGGCCTGATCTTCATCAATCAATCAATCACTCCATCACACACGACTTGGTATTGGTCCACTAGGGACCGAGACGTCGTCGTCTCCTCCTCATCTTATGGTCTGTGGTTTAGTCTTCATAAGTTTTCTTGGTTGGTCTTTGATGTCTTAAGATTCGCTACCTGGAACAAGAAGTTCCAGGTAGCACGGGCTATGGCGATCCCGTTGTAGACGTAGAAGTTGGTCTACTCTGACGTTTCTGTGCTGGTGTTGGACTTGGACTTAACTAGAAGGCGGACATCAATTATACTTCCTCTGACAAAGAAATCAATTGAGTGTAACACGAACAAAAAGATTCGGACGCAGGTTCGAATCCTCGTCACGGCCCTTGTGGATTTGTTCAATTGAGTGTAACTATGTAACCAGAATAATTTGCTGTTACACGACTTCTGATTGGATATTAAGGGTCCAGGCCGCGACACAGAGGTCAGCATCAGCACTAACTTAGAGAAAAGACTGTGACACAGAAACGGGTAATAGACGTGATCACCACATACAAGATTCTCAGAGGAATTGCTTAGGTAGATAAAGCCTCTCGTGTGTTTATTTAACACAAGGGGCACACGCACAAGGGGACACGGGTGGAAACTGAGTACCGAAATGAGCCACAGAGACATTAGAAAGGACTTCTATTAGTGTCAGAGTAGTTAACAAATGTGTCTTCACTGAGACACAGGTTTCAACAGTAACAAACTCCTTCTGTTTCCCCTGCCTTGCAAAGTCCCCCTCACTATCCCACAACATTCCAAGGTTCTGAAAGATAATAACAGTTATCTTGGTCATAAGGTGCTGAAAGTACAGAAAAGAGTAGGTCTAATGATGTACCCTATTTCTGGTGTTATATCTTGCCCTTGAGATGAGAGAGGTGCTTCCCATCTATACATCACCATATAAAGCCTGGTTAACATGGTTTATCACAAAAGATACCATGTCTGTATCATAAAGATACCATATCTGTATCATAAAGATACCATGCCTGTATCACATAGATACCATGCCTGT